TTTTTTAATAAATTATTTTTATATTATTTTTATAACAATTTAATAGTTTTATTACATCCTATGGAATATTTTTCCAAGGGTTTTTTATCATTTACTTATGAAAATCCTTCATAAGTAGTCAAATAAGCGTCACCCGAATATGGATGATGCGGCAGTCAACGTGTTAATATTCGTTAATACCTATCTCCGAAAATTTCTTTTAACAGCACGTCTCTATCTTAATTCCGTAACATATCCCGTTAATACCAGTCTCATATATTTTTTTTTTTAATAAATAAACCAATCTTAGTCCCCAAAGTATCTTTCGTTCATACCACTTTCGAATTTATTTTTTTAATTTATTTTTTTTAATTTCATTAGGTACGTTTTCATCGAATATACACAATCATTCGAGTAAATGATTCGTCAATATCATCAAGATGGCAAACGAACAAATTAATCGCTCGAACGCTATTGGTTGAACGATCGAAACGAGACATCGCCTCCTTCCTATAGTTAATATATATAAATGTCGAATTTCCTCGGAAACTAATCGCGAATTTGTGAAGGGAAGTGGGATATGGAGTTGTTTTCCTATCGATGCGCTACTTTGTCTTTATCGCTTTGCAACATATCTCGACAATTACGTTGAATTCCAAAGTGGTATGTCTCGTTCAGCTTCTCCTGTTTATAACGGGAGCTCAGGCAATGAAAATAAAGAAAAGAAAGGCACAGAAATAGCGATATGCTTCTTTCGCAAATACATACGCATACATAATGAACATATATACGTTCATAAAGACGGCAAGATTATACAAGACCTCACGCAGCGCCTTGTTGTGGTGTCAAGCCATTTATCATTTTATCTTTGTATTTTGTTTTAATATTTATAATTCGTAGAGACGTAATATTAAAACGGCAACTCATTTTACAATTCGACCTCAAGCAAACTCTTCCTTTTCTTTGATTATTTTATATATACTATGCATATACATAGGGTAATACGTACACGTACGTGTAATTTAATATTTACTAAAAATAAATATTTACATAAATATTTATTAAAAATATAAATCATTGAGACGGCGGATCGTCTCTATGTATATACGATAAGGATCTCACGCAATATGCTATTGCAGCTGGAATTACCGCGGCTGCTGGCACCAGATTGCCCACCAATTGATCCTCTTAAAGGATTTAAAATGGATTTAAAAAGGAATTAAAATTTAATACTCATTCCAATTACGGGAGAGTCCTGTATCATTATTTTTCGTCACTACCTCCCAATGCTGGGAGTGAGTAATTTACGCGCCTGCTGCTTTTCTTAGATATGGTAGCAGACGCCTTCTCCGGAATCGAATCCTGATTCCCCGTTATCCATTACAATCATGGCGCAGAACTTATCATCGGCAGTTGATAAGGAAGACATTTGGAAGATCGTTACCGATGCTAGATGACCATGCGATCAGCATAAAAATATTCAAAGTCATCGAAACAAATGATGGACGAACGAACGAGCTGTCCGCCACTCATTGTTGATATAATAAAAAGCATTCCTCCCATCCCTCAGAGAAATTCTGTTTCTGCACATATTAACTTTAGAATTATCATAGTTATCCAAGTAAATGTATCCACTATCGAATGAACCATAACTTATTTAATGAGCCATTCGCGGTTTCACCTTAATTCGGCATGAAAGATGCATGGTTTAATCCTTGAGCTAAGCATATAACTACTGGCAAGATCAACCAGGAATCTTCGTTATATATTATTAATATTTTGCTATTGGCATTATATATATATTTTTTACGTCGTCGGTGCCTCCTCATCGATCAACTATAAGTCTTTAAATATTCGAGTACATAGCAAGTATATTAAACATTTGGCTATCTTTAAAAAGATATAATTTCAAAAAGTAATTGCCGCTGAAGCATATCCAATACTCTTTTAATATGTCCCCATCGCTATCGTTTCAAAAATTATATACACAATATCATATATTATAATATAATATTGAGTATTTAACACGTGTAAATAAATTACTCTTTTACAAACTGAAAGTTCATCATATGAAATGTGCCGAATTACAATCGAATAAGAACTATTTAACACGTCCGTATTCCCTAGGATTTATAATCCTTATGTATTAGAAAGACCCAATCGCTCAAGATTAAAACTTGATGTTCAGTCGTACACATGGCAA